TTTAAAAAACAAACTTAAATTTTTTTTGGGGGTGGGGGGCTAGTTTGGGGGGGAGGGGGGGAGGATCAAGGATAGGGGTGAAAAAAATGAAATTTTGAAGTTGAAAATATTTTTAAAAAATAAACTTAATTTTTTTTTGGGGGGTGGGGGTGGGGGTGGGTCGAAGGTACGAGTGAAAAAATGAAATTTTGAAGTTGAATATATTTTTTAAAAACAAACTTGAAATTTTTTTGGGGGTGGGGGTGGGTAAAAAAATAAAAAATTGAAATTAGAGATATCTTTTAAAAACAACTTTTAATATTTTTTTTTCGGGGTGGGGGGTGGTGGTAGGGGACTGGGGTAGGCGTGAGGGTGGGGTAAAAAAAATGAAGTTAAAAGCATTTTTAAAAAAATAATCTTTAAATTATCATTTTTTTATGGGGGAAGGGGGGTAGTTGGGGGGCTGGTTTGAGGGTAGGGATAAAATAAATTGATTTTTTCAATTAAATTTTTTTTATAATTTTGAAGTTGGAAGAGAGTTTTGAAAAATGTTTTTCTTAAGTTTTGAAAGGAAGTCATTTTCCTTAGATTTGAGGAAAATGAGTTGATTTGAAAAACATTTAACCCAACCAAACATGAGAAAATTGAAAAACATTTTCTGAAAAATGTTTTCTTTCATACCAAACACACCCTTAAAGGTGTAATGTACACTCGAGAACTAGTCTTTAAAAAAAGAACAACAAATCAATATTTGTATTTGGCTCTTCTTCGATAGGCGATTCAGTGTTTAAAAAAAAAAAACAAATAAATTATTAAAGTAGAACTAAAATTCATATAGACAGTCATATCTACCACTATATTAAGATTAAGAATTTATGGTTTAATTTCATGTTTGTTTTTTTAAGTATTTATGCTTTATAGATTATGCTTTTTTCTGTAAAAGAAAAAACTTTTTATCTTAATGTCCTTTTCAAAAAGCAAAGACTTCTTCTCAGTTAAGTTTTACTTAATTCCCAAAAATCAAAACTTTATAATGATTCATCAGTAGCAGAGAAAAGGGGGAAGAAGAAGAATGGCAGAGGGCAAGGTAGAGACTCTATCAAGGTTAGCTCAATGGAGGATCGACAATTTCGCAGCATCTACTTACAAAAGATCTGACCCTTTCAAAATTGGTATATGGAACTGGTATGTCTAGTTTTTTCTACTTGATTTCTCTTTATCATCAACTTCAATTGTTTTTTGATGCTGGTTGATGGTTGATGAAGGCATCTGTCAATTGAGAAGAATCGGTATTTGTATATTCGCTTGTTTCCTGAACCTTCTCGGCTTTCGAAAGAGCAGCTTCCTCCTCCTTTTGCTCGCTTTATGCTCCGTGTTTCTACAACTGGAACCAATCGGAGACCTCATATATCTCCTGGTAAACTTTATTTTCAGCTCTTCTGTCTTTTGATTGTATGTTTATTTGAGTATATTCACTATTGCAAGTTGCAGAGGTCGATTTACCTAGCAAAAATAGTTGAAGTTTGAAGATATATCTTTGAGTTATTTTGCTTGTTTGGTGGATTTGCAGAGTTCATTTGTTATTATTACTGTGTTGTATTCGGTATTCCCATCCATTTGCATCATTTTGTTTGATGTAATTTGTATTTTGGTATGTTTAAATGATAAGGTCTGGTTGTTGTTCTGGCAAAGATCACTAGTTTTGGAGAAATGTATCTTCGTTTGAATTTTTGGACGACATCTGTATATGTACCCTTAACAAAACCTGTGAAAATTGAGGGATGTAATATAAAGTGTGACCGAGGTGATTGGCATGGAAAAGTAGTACAATTAAATATATGTATGATGAATTCAACTCTCAAATTCTTAGCTCCTTGATCTATTCACAAAGGTCTGGTTGCAAATCTATAATGTCAATTGTCATCATGGTTATTTCCATCTGCTATGGATGATTTGGTAATTGATTTGAACTATGCTGAGTGGCTAGAGATGAATTTACTTGTATAGTGTTCAAACGCTCTCTTGGAATGTCAACAAAAATCTCCAATCCTGTCCACCTGGAGGGGTGCAAACTCAGACATTTTTACTTAAATATTTATCAAATCTGTTGTGCTCATATCTGAAAAGGAAACATGTTGTACACATATGCCCGGTTCTGAAACTTGTGATTTCTTTGAAAAGGAATTCTTGGACGCATCTCCTACTCACATTATGTTTTTCATTCTAATGTATCAGGTAACCTGTAATTTGGGGGATGAGTATGTACTGTCAATTACGATGGCATGTGTAATATTGGGGGATGAGTCATGGGTATTATATTGTTTGCTGCATGCATCTGTGATGTGGGGGTGGATGGGGGTTACCTTAGGCAACTCGGACTATTGTAGATAAAAAGCACTGAAAAATTAGAGAAAGCAGTTCAGTGACCTTAATGGTGCACATAAATTTTCCGTCTTTATATGGTCAAATTTTTTGTTTTGTCGACCAGAAGAGAAGACTTCATTTGTTCATTAAGAAAAAAGACTTCTCTGTACATGCTATAAATCAAATCTGCACCCTTTCTTGTAGGACAAGATCCTATCTCTAGACTGCCTTAGTGCAGACACATGGAAGTGTAGACTCTTGTGCTTCCTTTTTTTTTTTCTTTGTTTGTCCAGATAAAGAGCCTGCAACTAGTCCATCATACCCCTTGCCGCCTCTATCACTGTTGAATTTCATTGACAATTCTGTATTGACTATATTCAACATGTTATGTTGCATGTATAATTTTGTGGCGGTCCATGTTGCAGTGTATGAGAGGCTGCTTCGAACAAGTGATGACTTTGTGTGGCCTATTGATTCTTGTTTACAAGGTCGATTCATCATTGATGTTGAGTTCCTTGACCTGAAGATCTACACACCACATGTGAGTTCTTGATATTCTGTAGTGTTCAAGTGTGTGTTTAATATGCATGACTGTATGAGATTGCTACATGAAATGGTTCTCTGATAAACTGCCTATCTAGTTGTAACAGATAGGGCTTGTGTATAGGCTTACGTGATTGACTTCTTTGGTTGTTCCTTTGAGCAGATTTTAACTGAAAAAGAACGAAATTTTCCAATTATTCCATTTTACAGAAAATGGAAAAGAATGAAAAGTTTCTTCTCAGCATTTACCAGTAAATGACCTTGATTATATATTGAACTCATGTTCCTTCTCTTAGTAACCTGTGGTAATTGAACCTTTAGGGTGGAGAAGGAAAATCTATATGGCCCAATGACATGATTTTGCAATCTTTAGCTACCCAAAGTACTCTCCAATGCCTCTCTCGCATGCTTGATGAGTCCATCCATGCTGATGTTACCATTAATACGGCTGATGGATCAGTGCAAGCTCACAAAGCGATACTGTCTGCTACTTCTCCTGTATTCCACAGCATGGTCCTTCACGATCTCAGGGAGAAAGAATCCTCTATAATCGACATAGAGGACATGTCAACAGAATCATGCAAAGCGCTTCTCAGTTACTTGTATGGGGCCATAAAACAAGAGGATTTCTGGAAGCACCGATTGGCATTGTTGGGTGCGGCAAACAAGTATGACATTGTAGATTTGAAGAATGCTTGTGAGGAAAGTCTCCTAGAAGATATCAACTCGGGGAATGTCCTTGAAAGATTGCAAGAGGCCTGGCTTTACCAACTAAATAAATTGAAAAAAGGTTGCTTGATGTATTTGTTCGATTTTGGCAAGATTTATGAAGTTAGGGAGGAAATTAACAACTTCTTCAGACAGGCAGATAGAGATCTGATGCTAGAGATGTTTCAAGAAGTGCTCACAGTTTGGAAGCCTGCCTAACATGATGAGGTTTTTGCCATAGTTGTAAATGGAATAACTCTATCTATTAATTTCTAAGCTGTAGCTTTCTAAGAAAGCCATGTTGTATCTATATGCTAATCCTGTGTAAATTTTGTTGAACTTATTAAGGGTGTAATCTGGTATAAGTTGTATAAATGGTTAATCTTCTGTTTGCAAGCACCATGGATTTGGATTTCTCTGTTGTTTGCCGTCTGAACCCTTGGAAAACTGGTAGAAACCATCCAAGTCCAATATTCTTACTAGAAACTAAAAAGGGAATTTAGTAGAGATTTTTTTTGTATTTGTAGAGTAATGTTCTTATTATACAAGTTATTTTCTTTCTGAAACAGCTTCTCTACCACCACGAGGTAGGGGTAAAGTCTATGTACAGTCTAACCTTCCTAGACTCCACATGTGGATTTCACTGATTATGTAGTTGTTGGTTTCGTTAATGAAAAATATTCCTTCATAATGCTATATTACATACGGAATAAATTTTTCACAAGACTCAGCAAGGGAACTACTACGCCTACCTAATTTTGCTGTATAATCCTAAGCTTTTTGTTGAAAAAAATAGCTCCAAAAGTAGTTGACATGTTAAACACCATATGTTGTTTGGGTCTTGCCCAAATAGATTTGTACCATTGGAGGCTACCATTAGCTGCTTAAATGAGAACTCTGATTAGACTTCCTTGTAGTATGAAGTTGTGTGGTCATCTACACTATAATGAGCAGCTTTTACAATGTTTTTGTATCAGGGAACAGTTTTGCATATTGTCCAAAAGTACACGCTACTTTTAAGAGATTCTTGGATCTGCTGCTAGTGTGTTTAAAGTGTCATCTTGCATAACTTTGAGCTCAGTATTTCCTTGCCAAGACTCAGAAATGAAAACATGAAGTGTTGCATCAAGTTTTGTCTCTTGTTCAGCATAGGAACATCGACAACAATAATATACTTTTACTACAAGGATAATATTTCAATACTGTCATACTGATTCAACTGAGTTCAAAACTGCTACCAAAGATCAAAACATCTCTGGCTTCTTGTTTGGCAAAAAGAATACTCATAATTGCAATCTGAGATCAGTAATTATTCTATGACAAGGTGGAACGACATTGCTGGGAAGACTCTAGACACTTACAAAGAACCTATGAGATTTTCCAAGTGCCAATCAGGACAGGATAGAATTGTTGGTGAGGAATGTAAGATTGCTCAAACTGTACACGAACCTACAAAAAAATTGTGTACAGCTATATTTACAGAAGGGGTGTAAGTATCTTCTCACAAGAAAAAATATGGAAAACTGCAGTAAGTGAGAGAGCTTCTCAACAACTGGACTGAATTTTGCTGTGAGCTGACAATGAAGAGATCAAAGTCATCTGGAAAAGTAAAACCCGGTACTTGATGGAATTATATTTATTTGCTGAATGGTAGTTCCTTTTCTCCACTATCTACAGCGTCTCTCCATATTCTATACCTCACACCTAGCTTATCGTAAGACACTGGCAGGTTCCAAATATTGGCGCCATTGAGCATGCGATCCTGCTGGCCAAGAACAAGCCGTAAGTCTTCATTTAAAACCTGTATACAATTTTACAAAGAAGAGAAAAATGTTAGAACATATCTTTCATTTTGATACCCTGTTTATTATATTTATAAAGGGGAAGTTCTTTGCAGCATTATCCTTACTGAAGAAGCGAAAAAATGTAGTAATATCTTATACAGAAGGTGAAATTTTATTTAATATTTGGCAAAATTCTATTTCAGAAGATTATGCTCACAATTATGTGTGTTCTATTTTAGGCAAGTCTAAGTAACTTCCACGAATCAAAGAGTTCGCAAATCTATATTATTGCGATTATGAGCTTCTAGAGCCATGTGATGGTAATCCTAGAGTTCAAGCTCTGATTTTGTTCTATGCTTTGCGTATTTCCAACTTCAAAATGCATCAATTTCCAAGAATGCAGTTTTTCATATATCAGGCAGTCAATATTTCATGAAGTCACTGACTGATGACTTCTATAAGATGTTAATGCAATCACTGTTTTTTACGAAGTTTTGGACAGAAACAAACCTGCTCAGCAAAATGTCTCCAAACGTATTGCATGAAGGGGATGTGTTTCAGCAGGGGAGCAAAATCCAGTGACATTCTATATAATAACCGTGTCTTCTGTCGTGATGCAGGTAAGCAAACATGCAGTTGATGAAGGTGCGTAGAACACTGCTTGGTGCTCTGTCCCTCCAATTTGCCTGGCTTTGAGATGCCAATGGTGGATAAAACCACACAAGGTGGTCTAAATTCCATATCTATTGGATATGGATCCCAATATCCTTGCAGACCAGATGCAGGAGTCAAGAACTTTACCAAGCTGAAATGAAAAAAAGAAAAGGTAAATTATAAGTACGTAGACCTTCATATACTACACAATGCACAACTTGAAAGCATTACTTATGCCTTAAAACTCATAACTTGGACCAGAAAAATCTAGTTTTCTGGAAAACCATATGAAAATAAATAGAAAAACAATCTACTCTTTGATGAACTATTGATATAGTATTAAACGTCTAAATAATAAGCATCATATGATCATGTCCATTACTACCTTGGTACACTCCATCCTTTAGCAAAAGTTGATGTATGAGTGAAAGGTGCATGTGCAAGATCTAAAAGATTGTCTAAAAGTAGTCCATGTTCCACCGGAAGTTCCATGACTATCTGCAGTTTCAATGAAAACAGTCGTAAGGCAAAATACTCAAACATGAGTTGTAAGATAAACAACTGAAAATCTAACGGTAGTGATTTCAAACCTCTGCATGGATCTGAAATCCAGAAGGTGGTAGTAAAGAAGGAAGGGTAGCTGCAGGTGGATCATTTCCTGGCCAAATCCATATCATTCCCTCTTGCTCAAAGCAGGGCAGTGCTTTGATCTTTACATTCAGTAATCTTGTTGATGGCATTTTCTCACATTTCCCGTCAGTGGAATACTCCCATCCTAAATTCATTTCACAAACATCAAAGTTAGTGTCAGCTATTTCATGTCCTCTACAAAACCCATTTAAAAGCTATGTTCATCTCCCAAATATGAACTCTGGTCTGAAAGTGGAAGGATTCAAATTTATCTCACCATGATAAGGGCATTGGATGCGACCCTCATTCACTGAGCCAAGATCAAGGGGGCAGGCTCTATGTGCACATGTATTCCGGACACATCCAGGTTTTCCATCAGCCCCACGAAAGATCACCCACGATTGCTCAAAGCAATCAATCGGTAACTGAAAAGATACAGTTTACAGTCATCAATAGAAGAGCCAAAAGAATAAACAGAAGACCATAAAGTAGGAGAGCAGATCATATAGCTTGTTAATTTGTTTTGGCATCATAATTTTGCATCTACATGGTTTTTTGTGTTTTAAATCAAATGTTTTCTTTCTTCTAGGCAAAAGAGACTATGGCAGATATGAGAGAATTGACTCACCATGGTGTCATCCTTAAGATCTGCGGAGAATGCTACAGGGTACCAAAAGTTCTTCAAACGGGAACTATAATCTTGGACAGGACCTGAGACATTCAGCGTTCTTCGGGGTTGCTTGCTTTTAGGAGTGTCTAATAATCCTGTTGACGTGCTTGCAGAGGAAGACGTGCATTCTGATTCTACTGTGCTTCTCTCTTGCAGAAGCCTATCGTTAACCAGCTCTTCCATGTAAGCTAGCTTATCTAAAGCAGCAGAAACCCGAGTCTCTGATATATGTACCTGTTGAATTGGTACTAAAGATATAAAGCTTTATACTTATGAGAAATAAGCAATATCCTGGAAATGTTTTTCTATATAACTTTCCATTTATTTTTCAGAAGACTCGTTTCAATAAGTTTGACATCTCGAAGGGAAATCACCCTGAATATCCACTAGTTGAGAAAACTGGAAACCAGAAAATGAAATTTGTATGAAAATGAATTTTCCAAACCTGGTTGTGGGCCTGAGAAAGTTCTTCTTGCAACTCTGCAAGTTCCTTCTTCATTGTTCCAATAGATTTATAATCGCGTGCTAGAGGGTTTAGTACTTCCACAACCTAGTTGCATAAACTGATTAGAATACGATGAAGATCAGGAAAATTTGAAACAACTCTTAAGGAAAGTATACAACAGAAAGTAAAAAAGGTGAACTCCATTTGGAAAGTAAGGAAAATGAGAAACAGCAATGCAACAAACTTGTAAATAGACCAAGATAAAGACGGTGGATGTTGTATTTTACCAGGTTTCCAAGTTCAATACACACATTAATTCAAAGACGTACCTTTTCGTGTAGGAGCATTATAGTAAGTACATCTTGCCTAGCTCTCCAATCACAGTATTGTAGATCATATCTAGCAACTTCTAAAGCTTGATTTGCATCCAAGAACTTGCCTTTACTTTGTGGAACTTTAGTCCTGGGATCTTCCACATTAAAGAGTGTCAACCAGGAACTTTTCTTATCTGGACTCCCACCCTCCTCCCCATACACTGCAAATACTCCAAAGCTCCCTTTGACAAACTGATTGTGAAAAAGATGCAAAATCAGTAACCAGCCAACTATTTTGCTCACACAAGGAAAATGCAAGTGACATATGACTCTCCATTCTGATATAACATGATAAATAGACTAAGCGAGTACTCGATTACACGACTCAGAGCTTATTCTTGCAGATAGTCTATGGACAATCAACTTAACTACCATTTTTCACTTTTGAAAACGAAAACTCTTTTTTTCCAAACACTCAAAATTTCATGACAAAAAGCACCTAACTTTCAAGTATTGTGAAGAATCAGAACTCTCCACCAGAGTGCAGTAAGCTTAACTGACTAAGATTACCAACCTATGCCACAAATCTTACCAATCACTAGTCAAAATTGATCAACCTTTGACACTATAAACATGTTTCAAAATGCAAAAGATCATAACCCTTTGTGTTTTGAAATCTCTATACACATAACCAACAGCAAGAAACTGACTTTTATGATCCTTTTTTCACTACAATTTCAAAAAGGGTCTCCATAAACAAGCTTAATCAAGACAAAGAAGCAATCTTTTTAGTTTCTTGCAAACAAAACACCCAAAAAAAAGAGAGTAAAGAATACCTTTCTAGTATAAGACTTGTTAGAACGGCACAAAGAGAAAGGAAGAGAAAGTGAAATAGCAGTAGCAGTAGCAATGGCTGTCATGATAAATTTTTTATCTTTTTTTGTATTTCTTCTCTCCACCTATTTAAGAAATAAACAATAACAGCAGATTTTTCTGTTTTTCTAATGTTTTTTGTTTTGTTGATAAGAGGTTGGTGTTGTGCGCAATCTCTGCTGACCTCCCATAGATTGCCACGTGGAAATAAGTGGGACCCATATGTTTCACTCGTGGCACTTTCCAATTCCACATGATTCTTTCTATATTTACTACTGATGCCATTTCTTAATTTGACTTCTCTCTGCCAGCATGGATGCTGGAAGATATCTTACTCTTATCTCTTCTTTGATTTTTTTTTTTATAAGAATCTTCCTCTTTTAGTGAACAGTCCTACTACTTTATGTGTGGCTGAAAAAGTTTAGGTGGTCACGTGAGATAAAAATAATAATTTCGATATAAAATTTGGTGATTAACTTTATTTTATATTTGATTTGAAGTATTAATTGCTAGTGAAATTATTTTATTTCATCATTTATACTAAACTAGTAACTATTATTGTATACATAACGAATTAAAAGACTATTTGCTTTTTTGGATTTTTTGGGTTTGGAAATAATATTTGGGGTCGAATAGAGTTTTGAGTTAGGTCAAGTCTCAAGTCGAGGTTAGGGTCAGGAGTTAGCTAGTAGGATCTTAGGTTGGAGTCAGGGAGGAGGAGTTGAGTTCTAGATATGTTTGGAGTGTTTAAATTAGTCTATCTTATGAGACTAGTCCTATCATTTTATGTCGCCCATTGATGAGACGTCAGGAGGAGAAGGAGGTTTCAAATTGGTGGTTGTATCACGGAATTGATGTATAAAGGTGTTCGGAGTGTTAAATCAAAGTTAAATGTCAAAGAGAGCTTCAAGTTAAAGAATTTATAGCAGCAAAAAAGTTTCAAATGATCTCATACATAATCTAACTTTAAACGAGTAAATCTCCCGAGCTAAATGCCCATTTACAAGACTATCCAAGCGAGATAAAAACTTTACCAGTCTATACTCATTAAAAAAATTATAACACTTTTTTGAACGGTATATACCTTTGTTGTATATAAAAAATTATATTATTGGTAAGTAATACAACAATAAAAATAGATGAATCCCACCATTATCTATACAACATGTAAATTATACATCGATATTTTGTTAATATGTTTCATAAATAAGTATGAACTGTAATATTTTATAAAATATGTATTATTTTAGGTAATTGTTTTTCCCACTAATTTTCCTATAAATAGTGTATGTAGTACAAAATTATATCCATATTAGTTGTACTGAACAATTACCAATCACATGTTGTAACTGTAATTTATGACAGAATTATTTTCCATACCAAACTAATAAACCTCTTTTCTTGAAAGGTTATTTTCTTTAGGGGATAGTTATTGTTTCTCAAGAATGTAGTTAACTGGAGAAAGTAAACTAGAAATGGATTAAATAAAAAGAGGGAGATCAGCCAAAGCAGTGTAAATTCAAGGTGTCTATTGCTATTTGAAGCTTCTCAAGATATTCATCATAACTATTGAAGCAAACAGTTTGCTTATCAAACAGAATTTGATCAGCCATGTAATTGATGTCCACCAAATTATGTTCCAACATTCTTCCTCTATTTATTTATCCTCGATAACTTTTAGAGCTGGAACTCCACTCTTACTCCGAGAAAACAACTTCCCAAAGCCATTTTTGCTTTTGCTAGTGCTAGCCTGAGTAGTGGATGAAGTAGATGATGAAGATGAGGATGCTGGAGATTCCCCTTCATTTCCGTTTGTAGAATGATTCACATTCTCTTCCTCAACCTTGGTAGGATCAGAATCACGTTTTGGGGTAAATGTCTCGTTTACATGCAACTTCCATAGTTCTCCGCCTGCTTTAGCAACAACTGATCCTCCACCAGGAAGATTTGCAGTGTCTATCAGGAAATCTTCTAGAGTAGCTAGGGATTGTAGCTGTTTCCCAAGGGATGCAATTGTTTTCTGGCATTCTGCAAGCTTGTCAGCAGCCACTGCTAAATCCTCCTGCTAATGAGAAAGTTCACATACCATTATTAATTTTCATCTTTTTTCTTCATATCGATGTGTCTATACATGAATGACAAACAACACAAGATAGTTTGAGAGAAAGAGCTACCTGTTTTATTTTCAATTCACCATTTGAACCAGAAGTTTGCTGAGCTTCAGCTTCCTGGGCTCTTTTTCTCAGCTCGTTTTCCAATTCACGATACTTAGCTTCCATGTCTGATGACAAGGATTTTTCTCTTTCAACTTCTGTCTTCAAAGAATCAATATTTACAGACATCGTCCGTGCTTCTACCTCCATGCCATAGAGTTGAAACTCGAGCAACTCTTTTGACTCATTCACCACATCTAGCTCCTTCTGCAGGCCTTCCAACCTGGTTTGAGTTTCCTTAAGCTGCAAAGAGGACACTTTAAGGGCATCTTGACTCTCATTTAAAGCATTCTCCAGTTCAGTTTTCTCTGCTTCAATCTTCTCCAGCTTTTGTTCTAATTCGGCCACCCTTTGTGTAATGGAATTGTAATCTGCTGCCAAAGGGTTCTCAATATTGGGGGAATCATGAGGAACAACATCAGATGCTACTGAAGGTGTCTTGTTTGCAGTTTCAGATAATGCAGCAAGTTGCTCCATCTCCAAGAAATCATCCATCATATCGATTTCTATAGAACAGGCAGCAAGAGTTTTGGGCATGGCCTTTTCATTCTTAAATTGATCAAGCTCAGCAATGAGTGCTGAAGCCCATGAATTTGAGCAACTTGGTTCATATTCTCTTGTTTCCAGTTTACTCATCTTGAGGGCATCATTGTCAACTGTGTTTAACCGCTCTCCACTGTCAGACTGACTATCGGTGACAGAGTCCACATAGAAAGATGAAACAGCAGAGGAGCGTTGATCATTGAATGGGGATGATTTGCGAGCCATGGCCTGTAGCTTTCGACACTCAGCTTCAAGTTTGGTCAGCTTTTTTATGCTTTCCAGCTGCTGCTTGCTGGCAGTTTCTGCAGCTTGAGTGCTCAAATCCCTCTCAATAGTCCTAATTTCCAACACTTCTGAACAAGAGAGAAGTTCAATTTTGAGAGCTGTGTTCTCTTTCTCTAGATACTTAAGCCTGACAAGGATATCAGGATCAGTAGAAGTGGGCATTTCAGCTTTACCAGCCTCCACTTGTGTCTGGAGCTTAAGTAGCTGTTTCTCAAGTGCAGTTTTTTCAGATTCCAATTCATTTTTTTCTGCCATAGCATCTTGAATCATTTTCTCTTGCTCATCTCTAGCTTGTCTCAACTGTCTGACACATTCCTTGAGTGCACCGTCGAGATGACTGACACGAACTTCCAAAGTCAAGTTCTGCTGCACAGCTGCATCTAGTTGTTGCTTTAGAACTGCAACTTCATTTTCTGCCTTTTCCCAACCTACCAAGATGATAAAAAGCATACAGGAAATTATCAGACCAAAAATCACTTTCTAGAAAGGTGATGAAAGAGGCATATTCCACAAAATTGTTTCAGCATGTGAAACACATACCAGAAAAAGGGGTGTACATGAAGAGACAGCCAAGAGACAAATCTTAGCTCCTGTTTGGACATGAATATTTTTTCCTTTTGTTCCAAAAAAAGAATTTCAAAAGTGTTTAATTATACATTATATTGATTTCTTGAAGAAAGAAAAAATTGAAGATGAATTTCAAGTTCAAGTGAACTTTTTTTTTCCACTCACAAAACTTCTATTCATTTCAAGTTAAATGCATGTCCAATACACAACTACCTCTTCCAAATACCCTTTTTACAGCTTTTTTGTCAAATATCACATTTTAATGTTCAAATGCCTCAATTAGATTGCAATCACAACAGAGGAAGAAAGAAGTGGTAGAAGATACCTGCAATAGCTTCTTCAGCAACTTTAGCATGCTGCTTAACTAAGTCTTCTTTGGCGCTAACATTAACAAGAGCAGCTGATAATTTCTCTGTCAAGCATCTCAAGCTTTCCTTGGATTCATCATCAATGGATGCAGCTTTTGAGGTTACCTCTGGTGACTGCTTGTCATGGTCAGGAAATTCTTTTAGTGCATCCTGCTTCAATGAAAAGAACGGGTGATCCTTTGTCGTAAAAGAAGTAATACAATAGCTAAAAATGTTAAAGCTTTTCTCAAAAAGAAAATGTTCTAAATTACACATAGTTGGTTCTCTGGCAGCTAGTCAGTAAGAGATCTATTGAATGATTTTCGATATGAGACAAATGACCCTACAAAGAAGCTATAGATGGTGCAGTGATAAGGACAACATTTTCTTCAACAAAGCAATAGGAACATCTATACACTTATTGAGACCATCTAATCTTAACAAAAAAAAAATGGTCAAGGGGTGAAAGTATATTCCTTATCAGGAAGAAACTGCATGACTACTGCAAGAAACATCACTTATGAAAGCTTTTGGCACTTTCTTTCCAAACCAAGATCTTACATCATCTGCTACCATCTAACCTGAGAAACAGATCTTTATACTGGAAAACATATCATGGCACCAAACTAGAGGTCAATCTTCAGTCACTACTATTTTTAGCTGCACATATAAATTGCTATTCAATCGTCCTCTGCAATTTACATTCACTATTTCAGGAGATGCTCTGCAGATAAATAAACTGTTTGACGCTCAATTAATATGATCTGACATACTCAATTCTATCACAACAATCACTTTTATGTTGCTTTTTGCCTCATATAGATCTGAGATTAGTGAATTAACTACAATCTTGGATTGCAAACTTTTAATTTAATAAAACCTTCAACTCTTAAAAAGATCACCTCAGATTCATTAAACAACAAATTAGTATTATACCAATTTAGTTTTATAGATATCATAAATCCCTTCTATGAGGAACTTAGTGTTCTTTAAAAAAGCCATGAAACATAATTCTTCCCAAGCACCTTAAAAACTGGAACTTTATACTAATTCAATAAGAACAAGTGTAGCCCCACAAGTAGGGTAGGATGTACACAGACCTTACCACTACCTTTGTTTTGTGGGGGTAGAGAGGTTATTTCCA